AATTTGGGCTTACTCTTTTGGGCTTTTCAATTAATCTCTTTGAATTTGGGCTTCAATTTTAAATTTGGGCCTTAAACTCAATTTGGGCTTCACAAAACAACTATTTGGTTTTTTTTTTCCAATATTTTTTTTTAACCTAGTTGTTTTTAGATCCAAATTCGTGTGAGATTTTATACCAAAATTAAAAGGAGATTTAGGCACTTACCCGAGAAGTTTATCTCGTGTTAACCATTTCGAACTTAAGATTGTTGGGGACGGCGGTTGTTGACGACGGCAAAACTCCGGCAATTCGAGCGATTCCAGATAAGTACCTGAAATTAAAAGATTATTTTGTCGAGGCCTGTGAAACACAGTTTCCTTAAGTTCGATTTACGTGCCACCTCTAAAGCTTCGAGGCTATTGGAGCACGGTGAACTCCCAGGATACAACGACCGCGTATTTGGAAGAAGCTTTCCAAATACCAAGCGAACTTAGAGAGAGATATGAGCAAATATGTGAATGCTCTTTTTCTCTAGAATGCTTGTTTCTTTTCTGTGTGTTTTTTATGAGCTAACCCAAGACCCCTATTTATAGTAGAGGGGAGAATCTCAAAACAAATCAATTTGAATTTCAAAATTCAAATTTGATTTTATTTTGATATTATCTCAATCTTATCTCAATCATATTTGATAGATTTTCTGCGGATTTGAATCCAATTTGAATTTGAATTTCAAATTCAAATAAGAATATTCTCTTAATATTCTGCAGATTTAAATTTATACGGACCGGGCTTCTCACGGGCTAGGCCCGTTTTGATTCTATCAAATAAACCCAAATCCAACAGGGATGAAGGTGGGAGTAATCGCTAGTGTAGGTGACACAGACAATGAGTGGCTCTTGAATACCGTTAGGCCAGAAAGGTACGAGAATGAATCGAATGCACCAGAATAAGAGAAATGTGAAGACTATTTAGATATGAAACTAAACAGTCAAAGATAAATTAAAGGAATTGATTGAGTTACACAAGATGTATCTACCTTTTCGGTTATCTATCTCGAGAGAATTCTAAAATTAAGTGTGTTTACTCTGAAGTAGTCTTAGAATGAGTGACATATTGAAAAGTAATTTTTGGGATGTGTGCAAGTGAGAACAAAATACGCTAAAAAATATTGTGTTGATGTGTGAGGATAATTTCATCATTCCGTAGTGGTCTCGTTACACGATATCTATCTCATTATCTAACAAATAATAAATTTCAGATACCACAAGATAGGATACCCAAACATCTATGGGTCTCGGATAAAAATGCCTAAACTAATATTGGTCTAGAGCGGAGGCGGCGAGGCTGTAAAGGGGCGAACGATGAATAAGAAATGATTACAGATTTTTTTTTAAGAATATTGGCATATATGTAATAAAATTTGTAGCCGCATTTCATGAATGTCGGCATACATTATTCATCAATTCACATTTCACATCATTATAAACATAGCGACGTTACATATTTCAATATACTATATTGTGTTGACGTGATTAATCGATTATTAAAAAATAATTACTAAAACGTACATAAATTTCATCCTCTCATTATAATGCGTTGACAACATGTCTTTTCCGTAATTTTACAATAATTTGCTCAGTTAAGAATATTAAAAATTTAAAACTTTGCAACTCAAGTTTTAAAAAAACGCTCTTGGTTATTAAAAATATAGTCAAAATATATAAGAATACTTTATGATGTAATTCTTTTTTTTTCTGTCTCGTTTGATTTCGTACAAAAGACAAATATTGTAAGACAAAATTGGCATACTTTTTCTCGAGTTGTTGGCCTAACAAGTTAGTTTCCATTAAAATTAATTTATATAAAATCAATGTAAATTTCAGGTGTGTTCGAGATACAATTAATTTAACATAATTTATTTTTCTCATCATATTGTTTTTTTTTTGGTAATGAATCTCATCATATTGTTAAATTTTAATAATATATTAATATTTGAATAAATGGAGAAAAAAAGTGGTATTAGAATATCTCTACATTTTTGTGGATCACGTTTAGTGATAGAAATGAAAGAAAATACAAAGTGTTCTCATCTATTTTCCCCCGGGGGCTCACGTAAGAAAATTTAATTTCGTGGTTGTAGAAAAATAAAATGCGGAAATAAAATAAGACAAATAGAAAGGAACGAAATTATTTTTATTACTACATCTTTTCTTCTTCTGGTTACATTACAATGAAAATGAAATATATATTTATATGAAAATTAAGAAACAGAGTAAAAAGGAAATATAGATACAATGGAAATAAATCAGATACATAATATTTGACATAATGATATTGTATCTATTATTATTCTCCATCATATCTCAAATCTTATTTTACTCCAATCACATATTCGTTTTCCCATTTTAACATTTCCCTCAAGATTGACTTTGAAAGAATGAAAAAGTCAATCTTGAATTGATAATGTTATAAACCGTTCAGACATTTTCATTGTCTCTGGAAAAATTCATAAACACCAAATTTTGTTCTTTTAGAGAGCATTAACCATTTTCAAATCACTTCATTTGACTTTAAAGTTCTAGCTTTAACTCTTTTTGTCATAGCATCTTACTTGATCTTAAAATTTTTAGCTTTGACTTTTGTTTGTCATAGCACATCGTTTGAGTTTAGATTTTTACTTTTCTTTGAACGATTTGGATATTTGAACATCCTAAACGCAAAAGAAAGAAGAGATTAGAAAATTTAAAAAAAAACATATAGTTCAGATCGCAACGCTGCTCTGATACCATGTAGAAAAATAAAATGCGGAAATAAAATAAGACAAATAGAAAGGAACGAAACTACTTTTATTGTTAGATCTTTTCTTCTTCTGTTTACATTATAATGAAAATGAAATACATATTTATAGGAAAATTAAGAAACGGAGTAAAAATGAAATATAGATACAATGGAAATAAATCAGATACATAATATTTGACATAATGATATTGTATCTATTATTATTCTCCATCATATCTCAAATCTTATTTTACTCCAATCACATATTCCTTTTCCCATTTTAACAATGGTGAGACTCGTGAAATTGAATTTAGGGAGAGAAAGTGGTCATCTTTTTTTTATTAAATATACATTAGTCGACATCTTACAATTTCTCAAATTTATTTTCTATGTTCTTAAAACTTTTTTCACCTCAAGTTATGGTGAAAGGTTCTATTTGGTTTTGTAATATTTCAGATTTCATTCTTTAGGGTTTAATTTATAAAAAAAAAAATTACACATTCAAAATTTTTATCGAGATTCAATTATATTTAGACTTAATTTTTATTTTAAAATATTTATATTTTTAGACAGAAATTTTTCTCCTTTGAAAATTTTTAATTTATTTTGACATTTGGTAAGAATTTAATTTGAGAATTTTGTTTCTCCTTTTGAAATATATGTGGTGCTAGTCAAAGCCCAATTATTGGGTCTTCTTATAACTAAATAAAGTTATTAAAAGATATCCATAATCAATTTAAACTTTTGTCTCTTTTAAATTTACATCACATGTCATTTAATACTCTGCTCTAACTGAAAAAAAAAATCATCTGATATCAAATGAACGTTGACTGGTCAGCCCTCAAGGCCCAACCAAATGTTAGACATTGTGATGATAGGGTGGATTTCGTGGAATATCCAATTATTGGAATTTGACTTTAAATATTTTTAAATAAATTAATATTTTAAAATCTGATACTGTAATCCTAACTTTTGGAATTTAGTTTTGGATATTTTAGATATTGGAATACAGAAATCGAATCTTTATTCTGAATTCTAAACCAAAATCTATATTTTTAGATTAAAATATTCATTTATTTATATCTTTATTTACAAATATTTGAGATTAAATCGCCAAAAATATTTGTAAAATTGATAAAAGACGAAAAAAATATTTTGATCGTTTTCATACTTATTTGGATATATAAGGGTAATCGACACTGAAATCCTAGAACTCGAATTTGAATTAAATCTATTGATAGTTCGCTTGTAAAATCTAAATTCAAATCCAAATTTAAAAAAATGATCTTTTGATATATAATCTACTAATGAAATAAATAAAAAATATATTATTTTTGCACATTCTCTATGGATGACCTTAGCCCAGAATATTTTGTACTCTTGCCCTTATTATGTATATATCATATTTAAATAAAGATTTTAGAAGAAATTTGCTGAAATATTCAAGGTATCGTTGGAATGAAGGTATTGTGGAGAATAAATTTTCCATTTTTTCGTTTACTTGATATATTTGATTCAATTTCGTTCGAATTCAACTTTTTTTAGTTTATTCGAAAAGATTATAAGAAATTGATTTTCATATCGATTAAATTCATTTACACGAAATTCTAAGGAAGTGATTTAAAATTGGGAAAATCCAAAAAAAAAAAACACTAAAATTTACAATTTTGACAAAAAATATACTGAATTTTATTTTTTGTAAATAAACATTAAACTTTTTAAACGAATCTAAAAAAACATTGAATTTTTTAAATAATAAAAAAAATACATAAACTTTTTTGCGATTATAAAAAAAACACTGAACTTTTTTAGTGATCCAAAAAAAATATATGAACTTTTTTTTATTGTAAAAAAAACTAAATAAAATAATCTAACGTGTTTGCATCTCATTGGGCTACGTCATTCATTTTGTTTATTTTGACAATCGTAGAAGAGTTAAGTGTTTATTTTGTCAAACTTATAAAATTTAATATTTATTTGATAAAATAAAAAATTCGGTGTTTTTTTATAAAAATTGTAAAATTTAGTGTATGAGATTTTCCCTTTAAAATTTGGATTGCATATCTCAATATTAAGTTTACTTCCCAACACTAAAGGGCCACCGCCCAAAAATGCCACCGCCCATGGAAAGGAAAAAACGTGGACAGCGTGCTTGGCGTCACGTCTCAGAAGAGATAAAGAAATAAATACAAATCCTTTAATTTCCCAACACTCTCATACACACCCTTATAAATATATACATAATCATGTCCGAGCGTAAGAAAATATACAGCAATGGCGGACGAGGTGATCCTACTGAGTTACTGGCCGAGTTTCTTCGGGATGAGGACGAGGATCGCTTTGGAGGAGAAAGGAGTGAAGTACGAGTACCGATCTGAAGATCCCTGGAACAAGAGCGAGTTATTGACCCGGATGAACCCGGTTCACAAAACCATTCCGGTTTTGATCCACAACGGTAAACCGGTCTGCGAGTCTCTCGTTCAGGTCGAGTACGTGGACGAGGTCTGGTCCGACAAGGCCCCGATCTTGCCCTCTGATCCTTACCAGAGAGCTCAGGCCAGGTTCTGGGCTGATTTCGCCGACAAGAAGGTACCCACTTTTCACATTTCAATTTATTTAGCTTCGGTTCGGTTCTGTGTTTTTTTTTGTCGATTTCTTTTTTACGTGTTTTGGATCGAAACTAGGGTGATCATGTTTGGTTTCTTTTTGGATTTTGTTTGTTCATTATTATAAATATTTATTTTTTAATAAAATTTTCTATATTTTCAGCCCTTTTTTGTACTTTTCGATTTGAGATTTTTTTCGATTTTAAAATAATTATCTTTATTCAGTTGTACTTGTGACATGATATGTGATTTAGATAGGGTTATCTATCATTGGAATCAAATCCTTTCGGTTTTTGGATAACCAAATCGAGATGGAAACCTCTATATCGTCTGGTTAAGTTCCAAGTTGATTCCTAAACCCTAAAACCTAAAGAGACAAAATAAATTTCAACACGTGCGTAAACAAACAGCTTTACGAGGCATCGAAAGGGGTATGGATGAAGAAGGGAGAGGAACAAGAGGCGGCGAAGAAGGAGTTCATACAAGTGCTCAAGACTCTCGAATCAGAGCTCGGAGACAAACCCTATTTCGGCGGCCAGACATTCGGGTACGTGGACATAGCCATAATCGGATTCTACAGCTGGTTCCACACCTACGAGGTGTACGGGAACTTCAGCATCGAAGCTGAGTGTCCGAGGTTCGTGGAATGGGCCAAGAGGTGTTTGCAGAGAGACAGCGTGGCCAAGTCGCTTCCCGACCCCAAGGAGGTTCCAGCCTTCGCGGAGATGCTCAAGAAGATGTTCGGTCTCGACTAAGACCATAAAAGATCTGTTGTTCGTTGTGATCTTTGCTTTGATGATTATTTGGTTAAAAGAATAAGCTATGTTTTTTTGTTTGTTTAATGTCGTGATTGTTGTTGTAACGTTTGCAACGGAAATAAAATAAAATTAAGCTTAATATTTATTTATTTAGTTTTTGCGTGGTGTGTAACTACTTTTACGGCACCGTAGAAACTATCACGTGAAAAAAAAAAAATCGATATCTGGAGTAGATAGATGCTACATATCAATATCATATCATGCATGGGTGAGGTGTCCGATTTCCAATCCGAATTATTATTTATTTATTATTTATTATTTATTAATTGAAGGAATACGTCATCCATGTGGTGCGACTCAACAGCCACAAAAATTACTAAAAAAATGTAAAATATATTATTATTATTATTATTATCATTATCATTATTATTGTTATAAGAAGGAATACACATCCATGTGATGTGACACAACAACAGCCACAAAAATATACTGAAAAAATGGAAAATATATGTTTGTAAGATATTATTATTATTACAACATCCATGTGATGCGACTCAGACAACAGTTACAAAAAATACTTAAAAAATGCAAAATACAGTAATATATCATTATTATTTATTATAAAAATACAAATTCCTAATATTAATGAACGGTTTGCCATAACGTTTTTTTAATAAAATACAAAAGAGGGTCCTGGTTTTGATCCACAATAGTAAACTGGTTCCCGAATCTAAAAAAGCTTAGCCGGTCAACGTAAACAATTCGTGTGTAGTTTTTGGTTGTTTGGACAGGAATTCACAATTAAATTAGTAAAAAAGACCACAATTAAATTTAGGCGCAATTGGAAAACTATGCTAAAAACGTCATTGTCTTCGAAAAAGATACAAAATTTTTTAAAATTTAGAAACTGTATCTTTTTTTAATTAGTACTAAAAATACCCTTTTGTATTTTAAAACTTTACAAACTATACTTTTTTTTTCTTCGAAAAGATTCCTGATCCAAGTATGCATTTCATTTCGAAGAATTTTTCGGACGAAAATAAGTTCTTCCAGATGATACATCTTCATTTTGAAGAGTTACCGGATCAAAACAAATTCTCCCGAACAAAAACTAATTTTTCTGGATAAAAAACAGTTCTCTTGGATAAAAACAAGGTTCTCCCAGATGAAAAAACAGTTCTTTCGGATAACACATTTTCCAAAAAAAATATGTTTTTCATGCTGGACGTTTTTTTGATGACAATATTGAAATTAAACAATAAGATAATGATATTTTTGTCAAAAATTTATATAAATATATAGTTTATAGAGGAAGAAAAATATGTATAAATTTCCAATCATATAACATATTTGGCACATAAGCGTAAATTTTTTCTTAAATTTAAGAAGCATTTAGCTTAAATTTATTCACGTTTTGTTGTAATGTTATTTGGCTCAAGACTTAATTTGTGAATCAAATTGCAAATTACTTATGCCCATGGATCGACCGACTTATATTTTGACCAAATGGATTTAATGGTTAGGGAAACTTGTTACAACTATAAATACAAACCGCCAAAATGACAGACATAACAAAGTATACAAAAAAAAAAAACATAAAATAGTAAAGGCGTAATTATGATGGAGCATCATTTCTATTATGGTTAGGATCCTTTTCGATTCTATCACTTCGATTTTGTAAAAGCTATATCCATCCGTTTTAATATTTTTTTTGTTTGGTTATGGTTTTATTCGGTTTGGATTCAGATTATTTTAGTTTTTAAAAATTTTATTCGTTCATTTTTTAATATAAATTTTCAATTAGGTACGGATTTTATTTTGTTTGGCTTGAGATCACCTCTTATTTTCTGTTTAGTTGCTTTATTATTTTTATATTTAATCCAAATATAATTATTGTTTTTTAAAAAAATCATATCCGGTTAATATCTTATTTGGGTTCCGTTTATATAGTTGTAACAAAAATATTTATTCGTGGAAATAACTTTGGACCAATAAAACTGCAATGGTTCTGTTAAGTGAGGGAAAAAAAAATCATAAAAGGGGGGGGGTGGAATGAGGGGAAGTTATCGGCCCATACCGCTTTTATAAAGCCCAATTAAAGGAAAGAAGCCATTTATTGGGCCCCAAATGGGACAACATGGCATGAGACATCCTCATACACTCCCATCCATTATGCGCTAGGATTTGCCTATTTCTATGAACTGTAGTTCACGGGTCTTTGGCTCACTACATCTCTCCATCGGTCTTGCACCAAAGAAATGTGAATACCCTCTCCAAAGCGGAACTCGAACCCATAGTGAAGTAAACCACTTTGCATCCTACACTCACCAATGTACCACCCACAATCGGGTAATCTATTCCATCTCATATCCATTCATCAAGAGAATCAAAATCTACTTTCGTTGAATCCTTTCTCTCATCATGATCTGTTATTTTCTTGTCATGAAATGGGAGATCTTGTTGTGTATTTAGTAGCCAATTGAAATTTCTAAATTTGCTAAGCACTCTCAGTCATTATGATATATTTATATATGTATATTGTGTGTATATATATGTAAACATTAATAAGTAAATGAAGTCTATGAAAGAATGACGAGAGAATGACCAAAAAAATTCATATATAGGAAAATGAGGGGACTAAGACATGGGTTTGACCTCCATACTCTTTCATTTATAACTCCACACAACTGATTGTGATCACTTGGAATGTGTGTTCACTGGATAATGTGGAAATTGTTTCAGATACATATATACACACACACACAGTTATTAGTAAAGAATTGGGCAGTGTAAAACAATGTTTGTTGAATGTTTCTGCATATGTTTTTTGGATTTAGCTATCCAACACTAGGATATCCTTAATTTTCACACTCAAATTTGACAAACAAAAATTACTATCGTGGTTTTTCAATTCAAATTTGGATATTCGGATATGTTAAATTGTGTGTATATAAATAGATACACTCAAGCTTGGATGATCTAGGTAAGATAATATGCAAAATATATGGTCTTATCCCGTATTTAAATCCGAACATTGGTAAGGGTATTCACCTGAATTTTTTCGATATTCCGATAGATGTAGTTGAGACAGATGTTTGGTGAACTTTCAGATCAAAATATATGATTCGTAATCATTCTACCATGACTAGAACAAATATACTTCTAGGGTTTTTTTTTTCATTTTTTAAGGAAAAAAACGATAATTCAACTCTTGTTAACATATTTTCATTTTTACTTGAAATATATGTAGTTTGTAGGTGAAGTATAATAGACAAGAATGTGCAATTCTCAAAAGCTTCTGGTACTTAACTATCTGAATACTATTATGGGTACTATAAATACCCTTATATGGACCAACAATATTTTTTTAGGTAACCGAATATCTTGTGTCGAAATCCATACCAATTCCGGAACTGGAAGCAAACCTTGTGATTGTAATTATATATGTTTCTCTTCCTAAATTGAGACTCGAATTCGGGACGGAACAGATGTTTTACATCCATATTTCACCGGTTGAGCTATCGAAATTTGTTTTATATGGAACAACAATGTTAATGTATAAAAGCTATGATGTAAGAATATATATATGCAACTGGGAAAAGAAGAAATCATAAAACCCTAAAGAAAAAAAAGAAAGAAAACACAAACATATATATATATATATATGCAACTGAGAAAAGAAGAAATCATAAAACCCTAAAGAAAAAAAAAAGAAAGAAAACACAAATATATATATAGGGAAGTGTGGAATAGAACTGCTATGAATATCGACATTGAATGCTCTCAACAACTACATCCACCTCCTCCTCATTCAATTCACATAAAAATTTTCCCCTTATTTATAGCCACTCCTTTTTTCTTCCCCATTCCAAAGAGAGAGAGAGAGAGAGGGGATGGATGATGAGAAGAGAAGGAGCGGCGCCGGAGGAGCGGCGGAGGAGGAGATGAGCGCGGGGATCCGTACGGCGGAGACGATGCTCCGGTTGGCTCCGGTGGCTCTTTGTGTGGCGGCTCTTGTTGTCATGCTCAAAGATTCTGAGTCCAGTGACTTTGGCTCTGTTTCTTACTCCAATCTCATAGCTTTCAGGTACATATATATATATACATACATACATCATATACTCGTATATATGTAATGAATTCCATGAAAGGCTGATTAGGGTTTGTGTGATAATGAAATTTAAGTACAGTGTTTTTTGTGAATATATGAATATGTAAAAAACGTGTGTATGTGTAGGTATTTGGTGCATGCAAATGGAATATGTGCAGGTTACTCTCTTTTGTCGGCTGCTATTACAGCAATGTCTCGCTCTTCCTCCACCTTTCCTCGTGCTTGGACCTTCTTTTGCCTCGACCAGGTTGCTCCATTTCTTTTTATTTTTTTTTATTTATTTTCCCCAATTTAGTTGCAGGCCACTATTTAGAAAGTAAAAAAAATGAAACATTCATATAATTTCCTGATATTTTTTTTTATGGAACTATAAATATACATAGTTGGAAATATTTATATATATAGCTTCGAAATTTAAAAAAAAAACATAAATGAAATTTCAGGTGTTAACGTACATGGTGTTGGGAGCGGGAGCAGTGTCGAGTGAGGTGATATACATAGCGTACAGAGGAGACTCGGCAATCACATGGAGCGAAGCATGCAGTTCGTTCGGTAGCTTCTGCCACAAGGCAACTGCTTCTGTCGTCATCACCTTCGTCGTCGTCTCCCTCTATGTCTTTCTCTCTCTTCTCTCTTCTTACAAGCTCTTCTCTCTCTATGGTCCTCCTCCTTCGTCTTCTGTTCATTCCCACAAAGACACCGTCCAAGTCGCTGTCTTTGGAGCTTGATCCTTGCTTTCCCTTTGAAATTTCGACAAGACATGTAATGTATGTATGTATGTATGTAATAAACATATGCTTTTAAACTTGTTCTTTTTTTCTTTCTATATATATATTTTTCATAATTTAAGTCCTGTCTGTGTTATGAATACATGCAATGTTCTCTATCACTTTTTTTTTTTTAGGAAATTCACTAGACTTTCAATCTATTTAATCTTTTTTCGGGATCAACCTTTAGTCACACAATTAATTACGTCTCGTGTAGATGCTCTCTACAGTTCTCGTCTCTTTCTCAACATTTTTAATCAGACCTTTATTTATTTTTTCTTCCCCAATAGATATAAATCTTTAGTCTTTCTGAAATTTGGTTTTGGTTTTGACGGGCATACATCCAATCAATTATAAAATTCGAGATTCACTCGCTTTTGCGAGTGTTGTCATATCATTGAATTCGACGTTTCCTCTCCGTCTCGCCTGGCTGTACTCTGATTACGGTTTTCTCGTCCCTTTTGAAACGCCCGTGGAATATTCAAATTCGGGTAGAAAATCCTAGGACCCGAACTTCAGGGATCCAAATCCCGAGTTTGGAAAGGGATTTAACGCATGAGTGATGCCAGTTGCCTAGTAAGACCAAATGAAGTCCATGGCATGACTGGTGTGCACACAAGTGTGTGGACCAAACCCCATGCCCCACCAAGTTGGGCAGTTTGGTTCAATACACACACACTCATCTTACAACCCCACCAACGACTTCTTCAGACTATCACTGTCATGCCCCACCCCAATCATTTGCCTAATTCTCTACTTCCAAATCCTAATCACCATTCACTCGCACTAACTCTTATCCAGCGCTCGGGCCCCAAAATCGAATTCTCTGACTTAAAAGAAAAACTCGGGTACCCGCCCTACGGAAAGTCACTCCAAATGAATTTCACAAGAATGATGCTCTTTCCACGGTTATGTATACAATAAACATCTTATATTTCAATGTTATCAAGTATATATGTAATGCTAACATAATCTGCAATCAAAGTTGATTCAGGAAAAGAAAAAAAGGTAAAAATAAAACGGCTAAAAATTCCTAGTAACAAAGCATCCAAGGGAAAACCAGCCGTTTTTAACTTGCTACAACGCTCAACCACAAACGCCAAGGGACAAATATACTGTTAATACACAATAATTATAGAAGCTAATGATCTCAGAATCATGAAAAGTTTCTTTATTTCGAATCATAGAAGAAACACGAGAATGGAGTTTATATAGTGATGATTGATCACGAACCTAATCGAGTCTGGCAACACAAGCTTATTAGTCCCAAAGAACACCTACACCAGATGTTTCAAGAACAGAATGAGATCAACTAGTTGAAATGAACAAATCAGTTAACGATTTCTGAAATGAGTCGATCACAGATGTAAGCTTTACCTTTTGTGCTCTTCGTTTTCATAACAAAATTTCCTACTTTTTTCCATGGCTCCTGATAAGGGAATGGCGTTTCAACAGCCCCTGGGAAGGAGGAACTCGGTGTTCATCCTACAAATGTTTGAAACGCAGTGTTCAGATAACTCGGAGAATAAAAGAAAAGGATGGGGAGGGTGAGAAAGGAAAAAAAAATTAGAAGGACCTTGCACAGAGATGCAGCTGATTCCGATTCCATTGTCTGGATTTGAACGTTCTCGGGTGACTGGAATGCATCGAGGGCATCTAAAGTCAGCTGCCACCCGCAAACCGCCTCAGTGAAACCCGAAGAATTTGAGCTGCTGCTGTTGCTGCTACAACCAGCAGCAGCCACATTTTCATTCACCCAAGGGCAGTAACAATTGTGGTACTTTATCGGGTCAAACTCCACGACTTCATCATTGCTTTCCCCATATGGAGGCCCTGAAATGCATCAGCATGCTTTTAGTAATATTTCCAACTACCAAATGATATCAGAGCATTTTGCTCAAGTTGGGGTGGGGCAGTGAAGCAACCACAGGTATATGCTCTTTTAATAAAAACGAGCTAATATTTCCAGATGGGATAGATATAAGATTTTGTCGAATTTTAGTTCTATGGCATAGCCTTAACTATAAGGTATTTCTCATTTTTCTATGACCAAAATATCTACTTTCGGTTGGGTCAAATATCGGAAGAGAAAAGGTCAAACTCGGGAAAATAATTTAGGCTTCCTGAGCAAACACATAATTTAATTGGTCTTCACGATTAAAGGAAGAGATCTCTAAGAGTACCGAACCTTGGCCATTGGCAGTGTAACTTTTTGTAGTTGTCTATTACCAAAATGTCTACTTTCTGTTGGGTCAAATATCGGAAGAGAAAAGGTCAAACTCGGGAAAATAATTTAGGCTTCCTGAGCAAACACATAATTTAATTGGTCTTCACGATTAAAGGAAGAGATCTCTAAGAGTACCGAACCTTGGCCATTGGCAGTGTAACTTGAACTGGGAAGCGCAAAACCAGCAGTGGATGGAGATTCCTTTCCAGTCTGAGTCACTTCTTCCTTTGATGCTTCATAAGCGGAACAAACAATGGCATTACAAGACAACGAAGGGTGAAAACTATCTTCATTCACCATCCCATGCATGTTACTCATCTTTTCACCGCTTTCAACGGATTCCGCCTTTACAGAATCAACAATTTTTGAGCCACTGTCAGCCCTTCCAATAGATTGTGACACTCTATCTTGACTATCCCCATGTCTATCCGCTCGATCCATTCCCCGCAGCACAAAATCATCGGTAAGGCCTTGTTCTGGTGCAAATTCACCGTTTTGCCCTAGATTCTCGATAACTTCAGCAACTTGTTCCATGTCTCCGATGACACAGTCTCCCCTATGGAACGAAATGTCAGCTCCATGGATTTCTGCCTCATGGCTTGCACCCATTCCAACACTACCCCCGCTGACACCTAAACTCAGTCCATCTCTCCCATGTGCAGTGACAGTTTCTGTGTTCAGCACTTCTTCACCATCATTTATGCTGCTAATACCTGGTTCGGCATTAGATCGAACAGGAGCTGGTTGGAAGCAAGCGCTCTGCTGAGCTTGATTGCTAAAATTCAGTTCTGAAGGATCATTCAAGTCAACACTTTGGGTTGTTGCGACAGAGGGGAAATTTATATCATCAAAATCTCCGGGACGGTTTTCTACGCTTTCCATAGAATCATCATTCGCACTGTGGCAAACTGTATCCATCGCAATCACAGAGGAGACATGTGTAGAATCTCTGGCACCTGGGAAAACCATACCTTGTTCATTTACGTCACTAAATGGATCACCTCTATTTATTTCCTTTTCCATCTCAGCATCCATAGAGCAGCTAGGGCCCGCAACAGAAGAATCTCGCCCATAAAAAGGACGAGAAGTTTCGCACACATTAGAGCCTCGAGTACGCTTTGAAGGACCTGCTGAATCCCGCATACCATCATTAACTTCATCACCATCACAGTCAACAACAATTCCTTCAACACTGTCAGCTTGTTGCATCCTTATATAAGGCCTATCAGCTGTGCTTCCACCATCATCCATACTCCGCTTACGAGTACTAGGCCCTCGTGATTCATATGAAGCAGCACGATCACCAACTTCACTGCCAGATGGCTGCCTCCGCAGCAGGTCTCTTTCTCTGTCCATAACTTGGTAATTATAAGGTGTCACTGACATATTCAGCTGTGCAGAGGATGATGCACCACCTGCAGCTTGTTGTGAACTTACACCAACATTAGATACTAATTTCTTTTTCTCTGATGTCGCAGCCTCATCATCTTCGTTTTGCTCTTGTCCCACGCCTTCATTGGCAAACCATCCATTGATTCCACTAGTTGCACTAATGCCACGTGTGACTCCCATTTTCTTGCTTGTTTCAGGAAGATTAGTACTACTAGGTGCAAATGGAATTGGCCGAGAAATGGTCAAGAAATCCCAAATTCTGATGGTCACACCGCACAAGCTACAATCCAGCAGAGGAGATCTGGACTCTGATTTATATTCTGGGTCCAGACCTTCATAATTTCCAGAGGCCTTTCTGGATGAAGCTGAGAGCTGTTTCCTGCTTGGGCCAGGGTCTGGAAGATGACCTCGACCTCTACTTGGACCAGAAGGATTTCCATTTCTAGCTGATTGGGCAGAATGTTCTTCACAATCTTGGATATTTGGAAGCCATCGAGGCTCCCATCCGCATAGGCTTATCAGCTTTTGTGCCTACATTAAGATGAAAACTCAAGTAAGCAACATTAGCATTAAAGCATATAATTCTCAAGCAAGTTAGCGGGCACATATAAACCCTAAGTTCTTACACGAGAGTAAACACTGAGTGCCTCTTTGGAGGTTCCGATTCCTGAGGCATTTTCCAATCTATAACTCACATCCACGTTACCATAGAGCTGGGGTTGTGACAAAAGGCGGTCAATTTGTGGTTCCCTTGAAGCATGCATCTGCTCAATGGCAGATAACGAAACAACTGGAAGAGAGTAAAATTGCAGCAGCCCATCACAGCGATCCTTGTAACCACCAATCAAGGCCGAGGGAGGAGTTGGAGGAAACTGGACTAAACTTTGCGGACAGCTATTTCCTCGCCAAGGACAAGAACTCTCATGCCCTCCATCGAGCTGTTTAGAGAATTCTTCCCCAGTGCTATCGGCTATTACCAAAATGGACAAAGGAAATATAATATATTAGCAGCATATAACCAATCTCAATAAATCAGCCCTTGTAATTGGTCCTGCAGTAGCAAGAATTGACCTTCAGGATGATTCAACGAATACTGCGAAGGATAATGCAGGTTTGCACCGCAGTATTCACATTGAAGTTTGTTCACATCAGTATTGACCCAGCCTCTCTGAGCGCAGGCCAAAGAACTAGCCGCCTGAAAACCAAAAAAAAAAAAATACAAGGGCGTTGCAACTAAATCACAGGAACCAACACAGAAAAGTTAATATTCATTCCAATAAAAAGAAGAGAAAGGTCAATAACCTATTAATAATAAGGTGGATTTAAAAGAATCATACACTTTGCTCTTCTTTCTTTTTCAGTTTATTGTTCTGTTTAGGTCTGACACCTTTTTATTGTAACTACACTTACAATGTTTCTTCACAACAATTCAGCTTCTCAAAAACAAGCCAGAAAAGTAACCTGAGGGGCCAACCGACTAGCTAAGTGTTTACAACCCCAACAAACACAGGGTAAATTATCTGCCTAAGAGACACTGATACCTAAATTTGAAAAATCGTAAGACAGACATTTAAGTTTACAACAGATATATCAGGAGCAGCATTTACCAGGTGGCTTTTCACCATAAAGGCTCATTAACAATATTTCCAGATGTATCAATCAATAAAGAATCTAAATTGATGATTATCCCTGATTTTCCAGATTGGTCAGATTTCAGGAGACATGTGAAAAAGCCACCACAAGAAGCACCAACTTTAGGAGAAGCACCAGACTTAAAATTTAATAAATTTCGAAACTTGTACTCCATTTCTTCTCATCCCAAGGCCTAGTACTGATCACTAAGTAATGAACACATATACGTACATAAGCAAATGCATGTAATGAGAAACCTAGATCCATACATTGGGTTTCCCAAGCCAATTTGAAGGCTTGAACGTAGCAAGACGTCTAAGTAAATCTCCTCTATCCCAAGGTCTACATGAACACCCTGAAGATCCCAGGCCTGACCAGTTCACGCTACCAGCATTCACCGGAACTGCTGGAGATGATGCCCCTGCGGAGCTGAACAATTATTGGAACTGAATTAGCCAACGATTACAACGCAAAATGAAACTACTACAATGGAAATGCAAGCTTCCAGAAATAATTCATGATATTGAGTAGAGAACCACATCAAAACCTTCCCGTTCCGATGAAACATGAAAATGTAGAAAGTTTACACATTTTGGAATTCCTGTCTCATGAACTCGAGAATTTGTGAGACATGAAACGTGATGGGCGTTCGGCTCCATCTAGCTATGTATATACAAAAAATCCAGAAACTAAACTTAAGCAAAGAACCCTAGATAAGTTTGGAGAACTAAACCCTGTTAGCCAAAGTAGTAGTTTGAGATTTGATAAGCAAATACATAAATTCCCCCCTCCCCCCGTAATTCCAACTTCTGAATTTCGATCTACTGATGCGAGGCCAAAAGATTAATGAACCTGGCAGCCGGAGTTTGGGGCGGCGATCTGGCGCGGCGGAGGAGGTATGCGGCGGAGACGGAGGCCGACGCCGATGCGGCACTGTTCCGGTTACTTCTAGGGTTTACGTTCTGCGAGCTCACGTCCTCTTCCTTCATCCTCTCTCCCTCGAGCTTCACTTTCCACAAAGCAGGCGAACAAAAAAGTTCGGAGCTCCCGAATCTCCCGAGCCTTCACAATATTTATTGATTTCAGTTTTTCAATTTAATTTAATTCAGTTAATTTGCTTTCTGAAGGATATTATTATTACCTTTTCAATTCATTGCTTGCCTCGTCATCATATTCAACGGTTGAGATGAAGGCACGTGTATTGATGGGGGAGATATTTTACCGGTTCGAGTCTGGTCGGGTCGGATCATTTTATTGTATAGCAAATGCTTCTGTGGTCGAAACAGAACATCCTCAGAAATCAATTGTAAAAGTGCCTCCACATATGTTTGTGTATATATATATATATATATATAATGAAGTTGATTTTCTTGAATTTGACATAGACACTTTTTTTTTTTAATAGAAAACCCCATTATGGCTACGCGAATAAAAATGATAAAAAATATAAATTTGTGATCTCCAAAAAAATACATAAATTTGTAAAATTCCCCCGAACTATTAAACGAAATCTAACAATTTTATTTCAATAAGAACTTGACGAAAAATCTATACCAGCGTCGTCATGTTATAAAAAAAAATACCACTTAAACTATTTAAAAATTATAAAAATTCAAAGAAAAAGAAAAAGTAAAAAATATATATACACATATGTACTTAAAATACAAAATATGTACTTACATATACAAAATATAAATATTTATATATACATATATACATACAAACATGTTACATCATGTCCGTAACAAAAAAATTATCATCAGATAAACACCGTTAGAATTCGTACAGTAATTTGATTTTTTTGGTGCAGATTGGTATATTTTTTTAAAAAAATTACAAATTCGTGTAATTTATTCATCGTTTTTTGACAAATTCGCGTATTTATATAGGATTTTTCTTCTTTTACTATCACACATTTTTTTCCCGTCCTTATCATATACTCTATGAGCTATACACACACACATATATATATATATATATGTGTGTGTGTGTGAAATTAGCCATCATCACCAGGGCAACAAACTTGGGAGCAACACTCGAAGCAGGCGATGAAAGCCACAGCGGAGAAGAGCTGGGTGAGAACGATCACACACTGATCATTTAACTTGGAACAGCACTGGATACAACACATGCAGCAGCACTTGTTGCATACCGACGTGCAGCAGTTGGATGCCGCTTTCGCCAAAACCTCTGCTGCGTCCGGCGGTTTCTGGGCTTCAAAGCCCGGGGAGACGTTGTCGGAGGTCGCTGCTACGTCCCCGAATCCCGTTCCGATGCTTTGAAGCGGGATCTTTCTCGACGCTAGCTTCTGCTTCTCGCTGTTTCTTGAAGCCTGAAAAACCGGTACAGAGTGATGGTAAGTAATCAAGTCTTTTGAATTCAAGAGAGGATTTAGAACATAGAATGAAGAGTTTGTGAGCTTTTTCAGTGCAAGTACGATACAAGTAACCGCTTAATCGAACCGATCTGAAGCAAATAACACAATCGTATCTCCAACACAATCTAATATAAAAACCAAGTGAATATTATTTCTCTAAAATTGAAAAACCGAACAAACTGAAAACAAAAATAACCAAGAAACCGAAAATTTCTTTGAAAATGAGTATTTTTATCATTAAAAACTGAATTCGAATCGAACCGAATCTAATATAAAAATCGAATGGTTACAGTTTTTCTAAACCTGAACCAAACTGAAATAGTCACCCCTACTTTAAAGGTCAGGGAGACAAAACAAACAAAGTAACAGAAGAAAAAACGCGGAGACAAAGAACCATACAAGGTAAACTCTAACCAAACTAAACTGGACAAAAATCACTTAAACCAAACAATACTGAATCAAACCAACCAAACTACACATTCAAATAAAACTGTTGTTTTCTTAAACTCTACAAGTATTACAAATGGGTCATGGTCGAAAATTTGCATATGCTCAGTCTTTCCACTTTAATCCCACAATCAAATTTAGAAGAACTACCCTGAATTCACTTGATACATGTTTGGAAGACTGAGGAGGTTTGTATGGAACGATGAGATCAAACTGTTTTATATATGTGTAGCAGTTGGAGAAAGAGTAACGCACTAGAATCACAATATTAGCGAGGGCATTGCTTTATAAGATCCGACCCATTAATCCTAGTAAGAAGCTTGAAAGAGAAATAGATACGGTGGACATACCTTTTTCTTTCCGCCCGCCTCTTTGGGTTTTGGTCCTTCAATGTTTTCCAGTAATATCATTTGAGTATATTCAGATGGTACACCAGTTTGGATGCTTATTTTAGCAATCTGAAGGGGGAAAAAGGCAAATGAAGAAACCCAATATGCTAAAGCACCCGAGGACTTTTAGAACTGACAAATTAACAAACCTTTTCTTGTAGTTGTCTGTCTTCTAAGAGCCATGCCTCTTCTGTAAGCATGTCAATAACATTCTTGGCAAGTATCTGTATAAATAAGAAAACAATAAGCGATTGGAATGATAAAAAACACAATATGAAATGAAGCAGTTCAGTATACATTTACGAAATGTGAAGTAAAATATCGGTGAATCAACACTTGAAGTGTGACTAAGGCATTCAAAGTATTAAAAAAAAAATAAAAAAAAAAGCAGCCATAAGGCTGATCTTACTTTATCAAGAGGCATGTCTTTCACATTTTGTACAGTCAAGTCTAGGGCAAAGCTGCTAAAATCTCCTAGTAGACCTTTGGCTTTAACATTTTCAGGAAACTTTCCACGACATCTTCCAGATATAATCAATGGGCTTGCAGATGAGAGGTCTGGAATGTTAGAAGGATATACCTATTATAATAACAGAGAGAGCTTCAGTCTTCAAGCATCAACTTGAGAAACAGAATCCATGATTAACGAAATTAAGAAAAGAAAAAGATTGCCAAAGAAATAAATCAAGCAGTTTCATCATATGGTAATTCAGAAAGAACATAAGCAGAGAAGCACTTATGCAACTAGATCGAACAATATGCTTCTCAGAATCTCAGATGTATGTATACCAAATATTTTTAGCCCAAAGAAGCTCCGGGGACTCAAAGAAGTGAAGTACTATAAGGCATTCACCATTTTAGTGAGGCAATATAATATCAAATTCACAAAAAGAAAATTAAGACAATACCTCGACTTCCTCTAAATTCTGAAGGGGCTCAATTGTTACATTCATGAGAATGGTGGAAAGAGCTTTGGTAAATTGTTTCTCCATTCGTTCTTCAATGTGATCTGCCCTTCAAAAAGGAAAGTTTAGCACTTATTATGGAAAACGAAGGCACAACCTTTGGCGATTTTCTACATCATTAACCAAAAAGGAGTTCGTGGAAAACCAACGAACTCCAGTTGCGAAACAGTTAAACTTTTCAGAACTTCGAAGGCAGAAATCCTACAGAACTTCAGTCAAATTTATCATGAGTACGCATGATATACTAGAAAAGACATCAAAACTAACCTGTAACATATGCGGATTCATCCTGACCCTTGGATAGATTTGCAAGCATTTTCAGGAAGTAGTGATTACAGAATATACCTGAAATATTACAAAGAGTCGCCTAATTAAATAAGCGAAGATAAATAAAAACTTACACACATGAAGATTGATTAGCTTATGTCAAATACTTCCTGGGTTTCCATTTGACACTATATTTGCACTCTTGTCCAAATTTATGGAAAGATAAATAAAAAGTAACCACAATCACTAGCATAAAACCCATGAGAAAAGTTTACCAATCCCAAAAGTGTATATGCGTGGACACAAAGATCCAGAACATGCAAGACGTTTCTTGATCACGTTAATGATGTGCCTCTCGTCTTCAACAGAACCATCAGTTATGAAGAAGATCATAGGAGCAGAGCTACGAGTGTTAGACAGCATCTCCACAGCCTGAAAGTATGGAACTAAGGATTAATGATCTGTCAAGGGGCAATGATGGCCAAACAGTTGAGCTCTAGAAGCCATAAGTGAGTGATGGAATGACCTTTTCTAGAGGAGGAAGCATAGATGTACCACCACTAGCAACAAAGGTCTCACTCATCCACTGAATGCCCCTTTCAACAGCATCTGCTGTAGCTGACTCCATTGATGTCGAAAACAGAGAAGTATCATCGCTGAAGGTGATAATGTTAAAGGAATCTCCAGCACTCAGCTTAGACAGGGCCGTGGATATTGCACTTTTTACATCTTCAAGAGGTTTTCCACTCATGCTCCCACTTAAATCAACGACAAATACTACCTCCCGTTTGAACACCTAAACTAGAAAACAGAAATCTAAGACTGCATTTAGGGAACATCTATTGGACTGGAAAAGTACAAAAATTGAACCTTTGTGCTTTGCTGACTTCCTGGTATAAGGTAGATAGAGAATATGCCTCTTTGATCAACATCATAAACAGGCGGGGATTGGAGGAAAAGCCCGCCAAATATGTTACTTGAGGAAACCTGGCATAAAGGCATAAACATGTTTACCAATAAGGGTGATGAGATACATGCAGGTGTAGAATGTTAGGGCCTTCATGTGTTATGGAGTAGTAAAAACCAAACAATTAACGAGAAGATCTTGTACAAAAAAGGAAAAACCAGACACACATGTTCTTACCACATATGAAAAGCTGAAGTTGGTGTTTGACCATTTTAGAACCTCTGCTTCATACGAAAACCCCAATCTTCCTGCATTCCTAGTCTTTTCCTGTATTACAGAAAGAAGAAAAATCAAGGATAGAACTTAAGGAGAAAGCTGAAACATCATGGAGTAGGTCCTGAAAATATAATATGCACCTTTAGAGGATGACTACTCCCTTTGCAGAGAATTTTGGTATCGGCGCCAGCATTGAGACTCAAGTGTATCTTTTCTTTCTTTGAGAGTTTCTTTACAGCAGGAGTTACATACTCGGGAAATTTGAAGGGAACATCGACAAAAAATTCCCCGTCTATATACAACAATTTCTGAGACCAAGAAAGTTTAACAGAAAGGTTCGTACCCCCATCAACCTGGAACCAATTGAAGAAGGGACAAAAGGTATAAAAAAAACACATTAGATGACAACAACTACATGTAAGAATTTACAACTACATTCTTACAGAAACTCTCAAAACACCTGTGGTATTGTCAAGGTAAATATGTTTGGTTTCAAGAAGCCTCCATTTCCGGTTCTGGGTCGAGCATTTTTCTCCATTTCATTGCCGTGATCAGAAGTGATCAATTGAGTAGTGTATGATTTTCTAGGAATCTCAACATCAACACCTAGAACTAAACCCTGTTAGCCAAAGTAGTAGTTTGAGATTTGATAAGCAAATACATAAATTACGACAATACAGACGATCAAAGGCAAAAGTTCGATTTTCCTGGAAAATTATCCGAACCTGTTCGCCCATGGGAATAGCAATCAGGCAATCACAGCTCCGGCTTCCCATCACGCAGTGAACCCGCCACGAACCTGTGACCCGAATCAGAGCCGTGTCGAGAAAACAATCAACCTCGAGCTCAATCGCGTTCATCTGCAACGGGATCAGAGCCGGTGGATCGCACCTTCCATGGACGTGAGGCTGGTAGCTCGGAAGATCCGGATTATCCACGATTGCCGGGTCGGATATAACGGCGTAAAGCATCGGCGCAGTAGGGAGGTACGCCTGAGAAGAAGACCTCTCCATCGCCGGCGAAGGACGCGGCGGCGCCGCCACTGCTCTGTCCTTGCCGAGATACACGCGCTTGGCGAACTTGAGGCCATCCTCAACGGCCTTAGCAAAATCATCCGCCATAGTTACGCAGCCAAAGGACCGAGAATGGATTCTGCACTCGATTTTTACTTTTTCTCGGGAAACAAACAGGGAAAACGTGGACGAACCGTTGAACGAAAGCGACAGATCACTTTGGAGTGGAGCCTTTTCCAGGGGAACGAACATATCCCTTGCCCCGCCCCTTCATTTAAATAACAAAATCTAAACAATTACTTTATCATAACCTCATTTTCTATGGGGACCCACATGCGATCATCCCGGTTATCGTTAACCGAATAACAATAAAAATAAATAAAAGAAAGAAAACGATTTTTTTAAATAATGATTTTATCAATAAAATCTTTTTGGTACATCCATACAAGCGTTCAAGTAGGCATCACATTATCATTATTCTTTTAAAGGTAAATGGCAAAAAAAAATCTTATACTTTTATTTTGTTTCAATTTAAATCCTATATTTATTTTTATCTTAAAAAGCTCCGTACTTTTATATTATCTTCAAAAAATCCTGTATTTTGTATATTATGGCAATTTAAACTATTTACTTATTTTTTATCCTAAAAAACCCTATACTTTTATATTATCTAAAAAAAATCTTGTGCTTTGCATGTTATAGAAATTTAAACCTTATATTTATTTTTTATCTTAAAAACTCATGTACAATCAGATTATCTCCAAAAAATTTAATATTTTTCATATTATACCAATTTCAATCCTATAATCATTTTTTGTCCTAAAAAACCTGTATAATTAGATTATCTCTATAAAATCCTCGTACTTTGCAGGTATATAGACGAAAATAATGTGACATTCGTATTCCGCTTCCCTTAAATATGATGCGTCACATGAACAAAAACCAATGATATAATGGGTTTTTGTATTGTACTCAGATTCGAGACTGTAATCCCAAACTTTTACGATCATGTTAAATATTATCTTGGACATGTATGATTTTAATTTGACTGTTGAAATATTTTGAATTCCACTACGTGTTTGAATGATAATTTGATTGTACATGAGTTTTTAAGATAAAAAATAAATATAAGGTTTAAATTGACATAATATGCAAAGTATAGAATTTTTTAGAGATAATCTTAAAATACAAAATTTTTTAGAATAAAAAATAAGTACAGAGTTTAAATTGTCATAATATGCAAAGTACAAATTTTTTTTGGAAATAATTTAAAAGTATAGGATTTATTAGGATAAAAAATAAGTACAATGAGACAAAATAAAAGTACATGATTTTTTTGGCCATTTACCCTTCTTTTAAATATAACTAGGTAATTTACCCGCGCGCATCGCGCGGGCTTAGAATACAAAAATTTTTTATTATTAGTTTTACAATTAAATATAATATATTTGTTTGTTTATTTTTTATATCATGTTTTTAGTTTTTTTTTTTGAAAATTTATTGAAAATGGGTTGTTACGGTGTTTTTGAAACGGTTTTATAAGTAATTTTTGTATTTATTTTTTCATAATCTATAACTTAGAATAAAAAATAGTAATGTGGAATATTACAATGATTATAAAATTTTTGGAACTTGATGTAAGAGTTTCCCTTTTACCAAATAAAGAGAGTTTAAAAATATGATTACCAACAGTTTGACGATAATAGCTTGTAACTCTTTGCTTGGATTATCATATTCCTTTGTGGTCTGGTATCATCATAGATTGCAAAAATCAATAAAATAAAATCAAATTATTGAGTAACGCACAGTATGCTAACATATTTTAGGTTTTATTTTACAAAGAACTTACTTTTGGAGATTGTTGAATATCTCTTTGAAGACGATGTTCTCCACTTCGTTGGAACAAACATTTGCACTTTTCAAGTTTAATATTCTGAGTCCTTCAGAAGATGTCACTCTTGAAAGTGCAACGTACAACTGACCATGGCTGAACACTGGATTTGGAAGATAGATTCCTACATTTTTCAATGTTTGACCTTGGCTTTTGTTGATTGTCATCCCATAGCATATTCGTACTGGAAACTGTGTTATTCTAAGCTTGAACGACCATTTTGTATCACTTGGACATATTATTATTCTAGGAATAAAGACCTTGTTTCCAATATGGTTGTCCGTGATAATTTCTGTCTGGTGAAGGTCTCGGCCAGCTCCCATGTTGCCTCATGTGATGTAGACCGCTGATTAATGTTTCTTAATAACATTACTGGAACATTCTTTTTCAGCACTAATTTATGGTCAGGCAGTCCAGAACATGCGAGTGAGTTTAGAAAATCAATCGGATATAAAGATTGTCTTGAAATGATGCCTTCTCCTTCATCTTCAATGCTATTTGAACTCAAATATTCTTTAAACTCTTCTGGCACAAGAGTAAACATGAATGAATTGACTTCATCAACTTTTCTGGCACAAGATTGTCTTGAAATGATGCCTTCTCCAACAATCAAGATATTTTTGTATGTGCCAACTTCTTTGGTATTAATAGAGGCTTGTATTAAATAATCCTGTAAAAATCACAAAAAAAAATTCCAACACATTATATAAGAATAAGTTTTTTAAAAAACAACAATTTTGACATATAGTTAGATTTATTAAATATGCACCATATATGAATTTATCAAGGAATAAAAGGAAAAAAAAATACATTTTCATCCAATAAAAGCATATCAAAACTCATCAACATTCCATCACGTTTGGTGTTCCGCGATTCCCAAGAACGAATGACACGGACAACTATTTGCCATTTACCATGACTTCTATCAAATTGATCCAATGTGGAATAACCATTATTTTTCTACAGCAAATATTAAAGGTAAAAATTGGAAAAAAAAATTTAAGAATAAATATGTTATTATATAAAATAAAATTATAACTATTTAGATTGTCTTTTCAAATGTTGACTAACCAAAAATTACAACGCGTAATGTTTTTTAAAATTAAATATAATATATTTTGTTTTTAAATTTATAATTCATATCATTAAATTAACGTAATTTTTTGTAATTAAATTAAAAATCGAAACCTTAATGATCATAGTAAAATTTATGAATTTAGTTGATATTTTTGTGTTAGGTTTATATTATAATGTATAATTTTATATTTTTTTAAAAAGAAAGATTGTGAGTCGTATATGTATATATATAATATTAATTAGGATTACCTCATACATGTATTCCTTTTGAATATAGAGAAATAGACTTTTATATATAGAAAAAAGTAATGATTCTATATTTAAGTTATTTCAAAGACTCAAGATTATCATTATTATAGAGAACATATATTTTGAATTGAAACTATTAGGAGTATTAGTTATCCACAAAACATTTATAGACAAATAAATTTATTTTTTCACCTTTGGCAAAATTTATTTTCCTGAGAGAACCATACATTTTATAGTTAAAAGAAATAGAGAGTAAATGTTAAAATTCAATATTTTACATTATACTATAAATATTAAGACAATACCGGAAGAGGTCAACAGAGCGAACCAAGAACAACACCGAATACACACGAAGAAATGCCTGAGTAAAAGATGGAGATGCATTCAATAGTTCCCGATCGCTAACCAAACTTTGAAACTATATTTTCAAAGAAAAGTCTAACAAATAATTAATTTTTTTTATAGTAAAATAAAAAACTATTCAAAAAATTTCCATAAAATCAAAAGACGATTCATAAATTACATGAGAATCCATCAAGTGCACAATCAACAATTTACAGTTTTGTCCCAACGTGTTTTCCATGCGTCTCTCGCTTAGGTGAATGCCATCAACGTAACGAAGCTCCTCATTGTCACCTTCTTCATCACCGTTTCGAACAAATAGTATCGATTGGAAAAATGCGACGACAAAAAAATTTGCCGGCATAACCATGAAGTCCTTTCCGGCGCACTGGCGTTGGATCCTCCATCTCCGACCCGTTCGACCACACCACGCGTGCTTTAGTAACTTCTCTCCTTTTCTCCAATGAATCAATCGGCGATCCTTTTTACTTGATAAGGTACCTGATAACTTAGTGTATTTTGAAATGGAGACTTAAATCCCTACAATTCAATATGTTAAGAAACATTTATTTTGTACTTTATAATCTTTAAAAAAACTTATGGTAAAGTTAGGAAACCAACCTAGATAACAATAATAAATAAGAAATGGAGCATTTTTTGCTTGGAAACTAAAGGGGGAAAACTCATGCTTGGAAACGGAGCATTACTCTATTGAAACATTATTTTCATGTTCTTACCAAAGTTTCTTTGATCTCTTCGGCCGGAGAGGATAAAATTGCAAATTGAGGTACTTGCTTATATGGACATTGAAGAGGAAAAACTAACCAATTTATAGATAAATAATTTAATGTAAGTTAATGTATTTAATATGAATATTCATTATTCATACATGAAAAGAATCTGTATCTCATATTAAAATTTAACTTTTTAATTAGATTATAATATTTTTTTAAAAGTCCGAAAGAAATTAATAAATGAATATAGTTTACAATACATCATATCTTTTCTCTCCTGGTATTTTTGTTGATGTATGGAGAATTAATGAAGAGAATTCATTATGTAATTTGTAACGTTTGAAAAAATGGCTGCATGCGCAGCAGCACCAACTATGAGAAATCCACCATTATTCATAAAAAAGAATTTATTACTTATAACCCTTCACATTACCAATAATACGACACGTGTGATATTTCCGTTAAACGAAATATATGATATGATATGATGTAAAATCAATAGATTGGATGTGATAAAAAAAAATCCATTGATTTTGGTTATGTGATTTTCGTAAAATTCATTGGAACTTAAATAAATATATATACAGACAATAGTTTTAACTTCATATGACTCCTCGGACTTTGTGATTACTGCACATATAATTAAACTATTCGTAATTTGTATCCCTGAGATTTGACTCCATAATGAGAAGACAAAAACAAAATTTTTCCATATTCTCCTTATTGACACGTTAGACACGTGTTATCCTCCCATTTGTACTTATATATATATGATATGATGATATATAATTTATTATATAAAAAATAAAATTGATAGTGTATCTTTTGTAATCTAGCAAAAGACATCAGAAAAATCTGGAGAGTAAAAAATAAATCAACATAAGACATCATAATAACATAAAAACTAAAAAATAAACAACATACCTCATAGCCAAATTTGACATCCATTCCTTGAGCAATATTCATATCGCCAACTTTAAAATAAAAAACTGAGAATTTTGAGACCATGCACTCAAAGCTAATAATATATATGATTTATGTGTATATACAAAAACATAAAGTATATTAGTATTTAGAACAAAGAACAAAGAGAGACGGAAAAAATTAAATACTAATAATAATAAATTAAATAGAATATTATATAATGGGAATCCTAATATGGTTTGATGGAACGTATTGGCTTATTAGGATAGAGAGATAGTAAAAAAAGAATTTTTATGAAGAGACAAAAATTAAGAAATAAAAATAAAAGCTAATAATAATAAATTAACTAGAAGATTATACAACGGAAATTCTAATATGTTTTGATGGAACGTATTGGCCTCTTACCAAAGTTTCGATAGAATTGCAAAGTGAGATACTTGTTTCTGCCGTGGAAAAAACTATCCAATTTATAGACAATTTCAAGAATTAATTCTATACGTGTAGTTTAAAGGAAATAATAAATGATATCCATATCTGATAATTGAGTCATATATCAAAATTAATTGAATATAATTAAAATTAATTGAATTTGGTTATTATATACGTGAATATCTTCTAGTAAGAAATCAGGAAGTTTTTAATTCAATGCAAGTTAATTCTTCCTCTCAATTCATTGCATAATTTGTAACGGTTGTATTCATTATTTGATTTATAACCTCTAATGAATGTATCACACAAAAAAAAAGGAAAAAGAGAGTGTATGAGAATTAAATAATTTAAAAAAAGGAAAAAGAAAGATTAGATAATGTCATCAAGCCCAAGACGACAGTGCATTTGGGTCCTCCGTCTTCTAGTGAATGAACCATAGAATTAAAAGTAATAATAACTTAATTGAATCTATTTTTCCAAGAAATTTTAATTAAATCTATTTTGACCCTATAATCTTTTCATATTAGGACACGTGTCATTCAGCTAGAGTGAAACTGTACTTATATATATATATATATATATATAAGATTAATGAAAATTTTAAAAAAAATTGAATTTAAAATCAATCTAATTAATGTAAACAAAAATATTTAATATATAAAAAAATGATTTAAAAAATTCAAACATATGTCTATATATATCAAAAATTCATATATATGTATATATTCATAAAATATAATTAGATACACTAAAACTAAAATCAATTATTATGACATATATACAACATAAAAAACTGCTTTGAAACAACGATATAAATAAAATGATACACTGCAACAAAAAACGTGAGAAACAATGTTTCATTTTAAACGAAACATATTTTGAAAGAAAATATAACAAATCACATTCATTTATATTTTGTTTATGATTGTTTATTCAAAGTAAGAGTCTAAAAGAACATATATTATTAGAAAGTAACATCACTTATATTATATAAAATAAATAACTGGATTGATATCAGAAATATTAATAATAATAATAATAATAATAATAATAATAATAATAATAATAATAATAATATAAATAGTTAGAATAATAATAATAAAAAGGGTGATATAGTTATCATTGTTAGATTGTGATTCTATTGTCATATATGGATAGCATCGTGATGTGTATATCAACATATTTATAGGTCTAATAAGGAAGTTATGGATTAGACGACCATCTATACTAAAGAGTTTTCCTTTTTTTTTTTGTTTTTTTGGCGATTTTTTTTCTCTTGGGTAATGGAAAGAGGAGCCATAAAAGAAGAGAGAAGAGAAAAAGATGGCGATGGTGTTATTGGCAGTCACCGTGAGCTCGAGGGCTGCTTCCAAGGTCGGTTTCTTGCTCGGTGATTGCAAATCCTGTGACTGTTCTCTTCAACTATTTTGATGTCCTGTTGGGTTATGCTTCGATCTTTGATCTCTGTTATTTGCTTGGCTTTGTGTCAAGTTTGAACTTTCGATTTTGTCAAGTCTTGGAATCTCAAGTCATCTTCTTTGATCATTGATTGTGTTGTTCGTGTTTAATTCTATGTTTCTTCACTGCATTTTGATAAACACAACCAAAATTCTAACTTGAGGACAGGATGAAGTTGCATCTTACCTCACTTTAAGATCATTTTTGTGTCTAGAAGACCTGAGCACAAAAATTTCTCAAGTGATGAATCTATGGTTTATGGTCTGAATTCGAACAATCATTATTCTTTCATATTGATCGACTAACAATATCCAAATCAAGGTTTCATGGATAGGTTATTTCGAGATTTTGATACAGAAAAGAATGTACAATTCACAGAGAACAACTAAGCATCTATAGAGTATAGTCAACAGAAAGGATGAAAAGCATCAATCATCCTAAAGAATAATAATGCATTTACATTGCCAAGAAGAAGAGCGGAGGTTCAAATCCATCTCTCTTTCTCCTTCTGAATTTGCCTCCGTTGAGTCTCCTTTAAACCTGCTCTACGAGAGTTGGTTAACAATACATCTCCCAGTGTTACACTTTCATTTGTAGAACCCGAATTAATACCTATGACGAGACTTGAATCCTCCCCTAAACAGTCAGTTGGATAATGTAGTTTGAAGGAAGAATCGGGAGACAACTCGTAGCCGAATGTTTGGATTGTTGAAAACTTTACATCAGAGATTTTCTGGCTATAGAGTTTAGTGGAAAACTTGTTTTCCTTGGCAAATTCTGGTGAAACTCCACAGTTATCTCTTGGAATATCAAGTGAAGGTGAAGCCCCACAAATTACTGGATCAGGAGATGCTAGAGACGATCTCAACATAGATTTACCCGGACTTTCTATCAACCTAATCAGAAGAGTATAAATTTTGGGTACTCTTTGTTTTGATGAAACGAGAATTATATTAATCAGAAATTTTGGGTATTCATAAAAGAAAAACAACAAATTATCCAGCTAAGTACCATTACTCTCTCGTCTAACCAAAAATAAAACGAAGAGATACAGATATTATTTACCAACAATATCACGACTGTCTTCCACTTCCATCGATTATGAATACAATTCTTCCAAATGATCATCTAACTCAAATTCAGAAATCAGAACTGATATGAAATATAGTGAATTCAACATCAAAAAGTGACGAAATTCTCAAACTTACGATGGTCGAATTGGCGATTAGAATACTGGACTCCAGTCATCAGATTCATGGAATTTGACTCTTTAACCTCTTCGGTGGTAGAAGAAAAAGAGAAAAGAATCTCGGAAAATCAGGAAACTAACCAACTAAATTGAACTCAACAACTTTGAGACGATCTTTCGAATAAGATTTCAGATTTAGATGTCACTAAGAGAACAATTTTCGCTTTGCCACGAAGCATCGGTTTCGATAAGAGGAGTCCGCCATTGATCACAACAATCCTCCATACGGATTTAAACTCAAAAGTAATTGGAAAGAGGAAGAAGAAAGAATCGAACCGAGAGTTTTTTTTAGTCTTGTGATATTTTTTTTTTGCTTGAAGTTATGAGACGACCGTTGGGTCATTTTCCTTTTGAAATTTGAAACGTGTTTTCCGGGCAGCTCGGGCAATGATTAGATCTTTTAATCGGGCAGTCTGAGAGACCGCCACGTGACAGTTTAACCGGACCCAGTCCCAAATAGATCAACTGAAATTTTTTTATTGCCCGGAGCCCGGACCCGACCCGAACATTTGCGGGTCATCGAATACGAGAACGAGAGATATGACCGTTAGGTCGAGAAGGGAAAGTTGGGAAAACACAGAAAGATCAACGAAAGGTCCTTCAGCTTCTTCCCCTGCTCACCTTCTATTCGCATACTCAGACACTCCATTAATGGCGACTCCGATTTCGGATTTTGCGTCAAAGCCCACCAACTGGTCAGCCATGGAATCGTGGTTTCTGTTCCGATGGACCCTTTTTAAGAATCCCCACTTGGGTCCTGAGTATTCTTCGTCAAGGAGACGACTTGTACGAACATTTGTATTATCGTCTCGGGCCGTGGTAAGTCCTTTCTTTGATCACCGTAATCGGTCCCGTCTACTAGTGGTTCGTGTTGCTACCTGTAAAAGTATGATTTGGAGTTCTACCTGTAAAAGTACGTTCGTGTTACCACAATGTCACGTAAGAGTTCTCGTTCGAGAGCACTCTGGTTTCCTCGTTTGTATGCAAAAAGTGCAAGAATTTAGGAGTAAAGATGCGTTTCCTTCGGGTACTTGGAAGGACACATCAACTATTTCTAGTTTCTTTTGACTGTTGTTTACTGAGTACTCTTTTCTTTTGTCAACAAAGTATCTTAGCCTTTACCAAAAAACAGAGTATCTTTGCCTAGTTTCCATGAGTAACACTATTGAGTACAAGTTGCCTTTGGTTTTGAAGCTTAAAGCATGGCTGAGGATTTGGACAAGCCATTGCTGAATTCCGACGCTTTCAACAGAGATGGATTTGATTTGGTAAGTGATGCCATTTGCCATGTGTGATTTTGGTTACTCTCCTTCTTCAACCTTTTCGGGTTTTAAAGTGCAAAAAGTTTTTAAATTCTTGTCCTTTATAGGGAAGATTGCCATTGGAGCAAGTATTTGAACAATTAAGAACATTGCCCCAGGGGCTTTCATCCGGAGATGCTGAAGATAGGTTGAAGATATTTGGACCTAATAGACTCATAGAGAAACCGGTAATAAACAGCATATCCTCAATGTGTCTCCTGCGTAGTGCCCAGGGACGGCAGAAAAGTTTGTGAGCTGTAGAGTCTTGTCAACAATTAACCATCTTACATTCTGCCTCCTAGATGTTTCTCTTTAAATTATGGTACATTTTTTGCTGTGTTATATAGAAATTGATAATGGCAACTGGGGGATTATGATTGTTGAACTTCACCCCCTTATTGCTCTAGCTTAGCAAAAATGCTGGTGTAGGCTGGGTGGATCCATGTATAAACATCATGAGATTACTCTTGGCACCGTAGAATCTTTATGCCCTTCTGTTTTTCGAACACATTGTTCAGCAGATTTATTGTCTTGGTTAACAATACGTTGTGTGTAGAGTTCATGACATTCTAAACGGTAATGCAGGAGAACAAATTTCTGAAATTCCTAGGTTTCATGTGGAATCCATTGTCATGGGTTATGGAAGCTGCAGCCTTGATGGCCATTGTCCTTGCTAATAGTGAAGTGAGACAATCTGACTCTTTCTGTTTCTTTGTTATGTCCTAAGTTTAGCTTGTAGTTTCTACACCTTGAAACTCATGGCTTTTTGAAACTGGTGTCACAGGATGTGGGTCCAGACTGGGAAGACTTTGTAGGAATTGTTTGCCTTCTACTAATCAACGCAACTATTAGCTTCATAGAGGAAAACAATGCTGGGAATGCTGCAGCAGCTCTTATGGCACACTTGGCTCTAAAAACAAGAGTTGTTGCTTCAACTTTTGGATTTTACGACAAACTGCACAGCTACCTGCAATTTTTTTTGGCCTAAGCTGAATTTTGGTTTTGATCTTTTCTTACAGGTTATTAGAGATGTGCAGTGGCAAGAGCTAGATGCTTCTATTTTGGTACCTGGTGATATAATTAGTATAAAGCTCGGGGATATCATTCCTGCAGATGCTCGTCTTCTTGAAGGAGACCCCTTGAAAATTGATCAGGCACGTGCGTACAGAAGATTTAGCATTTGGTTACATCTCTTTTCTTTTTAGTGTTCTCTATGTAGCCACTGCCTTTGAACTGTTTGAAAATGCCCTCCTGCAGTCAGTGCTGACCGGAGAATCATTAGCTGTGACCAAGAAGAAAGGCGACCAAGTCTTTTCAGGTTCTACTTGTAAGCAAGGTGAAATTGAAGCTGTTGTTATAGCTACTGGTCTGAACACATTCTTTGGAAAAGCAGCATACTTGGTGAATAGCACAGATGTTGTTGGACATTTTCAGCAGGTTCTCGATCATTTCTTCCTTCGCAGTTTGGTTTGACAGATCTTATTGGTGGAGTTGGATCCTTGGGAAATCGAATGAGTTATAAAATCTGCGAGACATTGTCCATGATCTCGACGCATGACATTTTTCTTTGAAATGTTTTCTTGTAGGTCCTTACATCAATTGGAAACTTCTGCATTTGCTCCATTGCTGTAGGAATGGTTCTTGAAATCATTGCTATGTTCCCGATACAACATCGCTCATACAGGATTGGAATCAACAATCTTCTCGTCCTACTGATTGGAGGGATACCCATAGCCATGCCAACTGTACTATCTGTCACACTTGCAATTGGGTCTCACAGACTTTCTCAACAGGTTCAAATCTCAGGTTCCATTTTCCTGTAGTATTTTGGAGACTTCTCTTTATTTTCTCCTGTAAATCACTAGAATAAATTGAATTGATAAGAATCCAGAATTTGCTAATTATTTATATTTTGTTGGTAAAATTTCACCTCTTTTTGTAATTTCATTCTAAAAGGGTGCCATTACCAAAAGGATGACTGCGATAGAGGAAATGGCTGGAATGGATGTCCTTTGCTGTGATAAAACAGGAACTCTTACTTTGAATCGTCTAACAGTAGATAAAAATCTTATCGAGGTACCACTACCAATACTTCTCATGTTTCTTAAATATCAAGTCCAGACATAGAAGCTAATAACAATTGTTTCGAGGTTGGTATGTTTTGTCCTTCGTTATCTTTGGAAATATGGCAATGTGAGGCAAGATCTTAAGGTTCTTATTCTTATAATCACAACTTAGTAATTCTTTCAAGCTGATTTTTCTTCTCGCTTGGACTGGAACATCACATTGTAATTCTGTAGCTAGCAAAACTAGCTAATTGAAACAGTCATATGAAATGCTCACTGCTTCTTGATACAGCAGATTCAGCATCGGCTGATTTATTTGTTTAAGATATAATTATAAAAAATCCTTCCTTTCTGTTTTGGCTCATCTTCTTTATAGTTGGTTGTAATGTGTTCTTCCCTCTCTTGCAGGTTTTTGTCGATTTCATGGACAAGGACACGATTTTGTTGCTTGCAAGCCGGGCTTCTCGGCTAGAAAATCAGGATGCTATTGATGCAGCAATTGTTAGCATGCTTGCTGATCCCAGGGAGGTTGAACATGATATTTTCTTGAAGTTCTATTTAGGTTTCTCAACTTCTTGGAAGTTTTTGACGTTCTGAAAAGACAGTTGTTATCTTCTGTAGGCGCGTGCCAACATTAAAGAAGTCCATTTCCTGCCTTTCAATCCTGTTGACAAACGTACTGCTATAACATATATTGATTCTGATGGTAAATGGTATCGTGCTAGCAAAGGAGCCCCTGAACAGGTACCAAAGATCGTGAGACTTCAGACTGGTTACTGCTTGTCATATAAAATACCTAATCTTTCTTTTTACCTTTAAGTTTTCAAAAATGGTTTACGGGATATCCAAAACACCATCGGCAATGCTACTAAGTAATACGTCTCTCTAATTTTGGAATTTCTAGGGATTTCGAGGAACTTAAGTCCTCATGTGTTTTTTCCATTACCCAAACGAATGCCACTGCTGATGCAGCTTGACCATGTTTCAGATCCTAAGCTTATGCCAATCGAAAGATCAGATTACACCAAGAGTGTATGCCATCATTGATAAATTTGCAGAAAAAGGATTGAGGTCTCTTGCAGTTGCTTATCAGGTAAGGTTTTTGTCTTCTAACCTTCTAACTTTTAAACAGGTGTTATTGCTAGCAGCAAAACATTATAATAACAAAATGTTCTTCGGATTATCTACATCACTTAATATTTGTTTCCAGGAAATTCCAGAGAAAAGCAAAGACAGTGATGGAGGGCCATGGAAGTTTTGTGGTCTTTTGCCATTGTTCGATCCTCCAAGGCATGACAGTGCTGAAACCATCCTTAGAGCCCTCAACCTTGGAGTTTGTGTTAAGATGATCACTGGTAAGTCTAATCGTCAACCACTGTACATGCCTTGGTGGCTGTTGTAATAGCAAGTTTTCTCCTGCTGACAATCACACTTCTCATTGAGAGATATGTCGCTTGGTTGATCCCGCACACACACACATACGTATCCAAACATGCAGACCTTTAATCCTTTGGAGGTATGGATGAAAAAGCTGAAGATTTTCTTGGACAAATATGTAGGTGATCAGTTGGCAATTGCAAAGGAGATGGGCAGACGTCTTGGAATGGGAACCAACATGTACCCTTCTTCCTCTCTATTAGGCCACAGCAAAGATGAGCATGCTATGGTTCTAGTTGATGACCTCATTGAAATGGCCGATGGTTTTGCTGGAGTATTTCCTGGTTCGTAATCACAAAACCCTCTTCCCAATCAAAATCATGGAATTTCAGAATTGCTCTGTTTCCTGATCATAAACTTTCGTGCCATGTTCAGAACACAAGTATGAGATTGTAAAGATTTTACAAGAAAAGAGGCACATGGTTGGAATGACGGGTGACGGTGTGAATGATGCACCCGCTCTCAAGAAAGCTGATATCGGAATAGCAGTAGCTGATGCAACTGATGCTGCAAGAAGTGCTGCTGATATAGTGCTAACTGAGCCCGGTTTAAGTGTGATTATCAGTGCTGTCTTGACCAGCAGAGCTATATTTCAGCGGATGAAGAACTATACAGTTAAGTACCAACTAATGGTTACACCACTTTCATTTTGGCTCACATATAAATATTGGCAAAAGATTTGAACTACAAAGATAACATATTACCTACGCATTAATATCTTTGTGTGAGCCATTACCTGCAAAATTAGTTTATGTACTGTATTAATTACCAATGTAAGAGATATATGCAAATTATGATTCATGAACTTGTGATGACATTCTAAACTTCTGAATTTTTTGCTCTTGTTTTACTGACTAGATGGCATGAATTTGCAGATATATGCCGTCTCAATCACCATACGTATAGTGGTAAGGGGTTCTTGATACGTGATCCAACTCTTGGTCCATTACTTAAAAAGTATTTATCTTCTCTCAGCTCTTATCTTCTTGCCACTGGTTTGTGCAGCTCTGTTTCATGCTTCTTGCACTGATATGGAAATTTGATTTCCCACCTTTCATGGTGCTGATAGTCGCAATACTCAACGACGGTACTGTATTTCAGCTTCAAGCTGTTTTTAAATTTCATTTTCGACCCTTTCAAGTCTTCTCTTTTATCTCCGAAACTTGAGGCTTAAGGAGCAAGAATTTAATCATATTTGTAAGATACTTCTCTTTTCTGTTCTTCTCTCACACTTCAGGGACCATAATGACTATTTCTAAGGATCGAGTGAGGCCATCTCCTACACCAGACAGTTGGAATCTCAACCAGATATTCGCAACGGGTATTGTCATAGGAACATATCTAGCGTTGGTCACTGTTTTCTTCTACTGGCTGGTTGTCTTCACCACTTTTTTCGAGGTATATCTTCTCGTTGCTGAAACACACACACATTTCGATTTTGCTTCCAGGAAATCTGTATTCATGACCATCAAATGCATCTTAACACTCTGCAGAATAATTTCAAGGTAAAGTCTATAGCCAAAAACAGCAAACAGGTGTCATCAGCTGTGTATCTCCAAGTAAGCATCATCAGCCAAGCTCTTATATTCGTAACCCGTAGCCAAGGCTGGTCATTTCTCGAGCGGCCCGGGACTCTCCTGATCTGTGCATTTATTCTCGCCCAACTTGTGAGACTTCTATATCCTTAACTCTATTTCCCTGTAACGTAGATAAACCATTTTTTCTTGAGATCTTCGTTGATACATACATTGCAGATAGCTACCTTAATCGCTGTCTATGCAGACATAAGCTTTGCTTACATTAGTGGTATTGGATGGGGTTGGGCCGGTGTTATATGGTTGTATTGTCTGATATTCTATATACCTCTGGATATCATTAAGTTTGTAGTCCAATACGCTTTGAGCGGTGAAGCCTGGAACCTCGTATTCGACAGAAAGGTTTGGTTCCCGAATCTTTGTATCTGCTGGTTACTTAAGATACCGTTAAATATCTTTACTTTCTCAAACATGATGCCTGGCTTTTCTTTCAGACAGCTCTCACTTGCAAGAAAGATTACAGGAGTAACAATACTCGAACCTTTTCTCAGACAAGTCTGCATGGTTTGAGTTGTGTTGAGGAGATCAGTGGTAGGCGTTTTTCCCGATCTTCTTGGATCGCTGAAAATGCTAGACGACGTGCAGAAATCGTCAGGTCGATCTTTACTTTCCAAGGATTATTGATTCTACGCTTCTCGTTTAGTTGCCTTTTAGAATGCATCTTCAGAATATAAGCTTTGTATTGATGTAGGAGCAGGCTAGGGGAGCAGCACACTGTGACTAGACATCTAGAATCATTGATAAGGCTCAAAAAAATCAACACGGAAACGATCCAATCCTCCCGTACTGTCTGAAAACACTCGATGCTGATTCTTTATACTTTCAGTTTCGAAACGTATGACTCAAGGAATGTTTTGACAAATTACTACCTTCTTTTGTCCGGCTGGCTTGCTCGATCAGTGGACAACGACGCGTTTAAAGGACTTACGAGAGAAAATAGTCGTGTCATGTAATATTTTATGTTGTTTTCCTATTGACTGTACCTGAATTTTGGCTTCAACCTCAAGAAACACAATTGTTGTATCTTTGTCCTTTATTCTAGGGCTCCAAAAACAAGAGTTGTGGCTTCAAATTTTGGATTTTCACTGCAACTTGCACGGCTACCTGTACACTTTTTTTCAGCCTATGCTGAAATATGGTTTTGATCTCTTCTAACAGGTTATTAGATATGGGCATTGGCAAGAGCTAGATGTATCTATTTTGATACCTGGGGATATAATTAGTTTAAAGCTCGAGGATATCATTCCTGCAGATGCTCGTCTTCATGAAGGAGACCCTTTGAAAATTGAGCAGGCACACGCATAAAGAAGATTTAGCACTTGGTTACATCTCTTTCCTGTTTTAGTGTTCTCTTTGTAGCCATTTAAACTGTTTGAAAATGCCCTCCTGCAGTCGGTGCTGACAAGAGAATCATTAGCTGTGACCAAGAAGAAAGGTGACGAAGCCTTTTCAGGTTCTACTTGTAAGCAAGGTGAAATTGAAGCTGTTGTTATAGCTACTGGTCTGAACACATTCTTTGGAAAAGCAGCATACTTGGTGAATAACACAGATGTTGTTAGACATATTCAGCAACTTCTCGATCATTTGTTCCTTCCCTGTTTCGCTTGACAGAATCTTATTGGTGGAGGTGAATCATTGGGAAACCAAATGAGTTCTAAAAGCTGCGGAGGCATTGTCCATGATTTCGACGCATGACATTTTTCTTTGAAATATTTTCTTGTAGGCCCTTACGTCAATTGGAAACTTCTGCATTTGCTCCATTGCTGGAGGATTGCTTCCTAAAATCATTGTTATGTTCCCTATACAACATCGCTCATACAGGATTGGAATCAACAATATTCTCATCCTACTGATTGGAGGGATACCCATAGCCATGCCAACTGTACTATCTGTCACACTTGCAATTTGGTCTCACAGACTTTCTCGGCAGGTTCAAATCTCAGGTTCCATTTTCCTGTAGTATTTTGGAGACTTCTCTTTATTTTCTCCTGTAAATCACTAGAATAAATTGAATTGATAAGAAACCAGAATTTGCTAATTATTTACAGTTTGTTGGTAAAAGTTTTACCTCTTTTCGCAATTTCATTCTAAAAGGGTGCCATTAACAAAAGGATGACTGCGATAGTGGAAATGGCTGGAATGGATCTCTTGCTGTGATAAAACAGGAAGCTTATGCCATTGCCAACTGAAAGATGAGATTGCACCAAGAGTGTACGCCATCATTGATAAATTTGCAGAAAAAGGATTGAGGTCTCTTGCAGTTGCTTATCAGGTAAGGTTTTTGTCTTCTTCCTTCTGTCTTTTAATCGGGCGGTACTGCTAGAAGCAAAACATTACAATAACAAAATGTTCTCCAGATTATCTACATCATTTAGTATTTGTTTCCAGGAAATTCCAGAGAAAAGCAAAAGCAGTCATGGAGGGCCATGGAAGTTTTGTGTTCTTTTGCCATTGATCAATCCTCCAGGGCATGACAGTGCTGAAACCATCCTTAGAGCCCTCAACCTTGGAGTTTGCGTTAAGATGATCACTGGTAATTCTAAATATCAGGCACTGTAAGAAGATTCCTTTTGGAATCAAATTCTATCTCCAGCATTGGCGAGAAAGTGACTCGGTGGCTATTGTAACAGCAAGTTTTCTCCCACACACGTAGTCAAACATGCAGACCTTAATTCCTTGGAGGTATGGATGAGAAAGCTTAAGATTTGTTTGCTCAAATATGTAGGGATGAGGACCAACAGGTATCCCTCTTCCTCTTTATTAGGCCACAACAGAGATTAGCATGATATGGCTCTAGTTGATGAGCTCATTGAAATTGCAGAGGGTTTTGCTGGAGTAATTCCCGGTTTGCAATCACAAAACCTTCTTCCCAGTCGAAATCATGGACTTTCAGGATTGCTCTGTTTTCCGATCATAAACTATCGTGCCATGTTCAGAACACAAGTACAAGATTGTAAAGTTTTTAATGATGCACCTGCTCTCAAGAAAGTAGATATCGGAATAGCAGTGGCTGATTCAACTGATGTTGCAAGAAGTGCTGCTGATATAGTGTTAACTGAGCCCGGTTTAAGTGTGATTATCAGTGCTGTCTTGACCAGCAGGGCTATATATATTTCAGAGGATGAAGAACTATACAGTTAAGTACTAAACTAATGGTTACACATTCATACCAAAAAAAAAAAAAAAAAAAAAAAAACTAATGGTTACACCACTTTCATTCTTGCTCCCATACAAATATTAGCCAGAGATTTGAACTACAGTGACAACATATTACCTAGGCATTGATTTCTGTGTGAGCCATTACCTGCAAATAAACTTATTCACCGTATTAATTACAGATATAAGAGATATATGCAAATTATGATTCATGAACTTGTGATTTCATTCTAAACTTCTGATTTTTTTTTTCTTGTTTTACTGACTAGCTGGCTTGAATTTGCAGATATATGCCGTCTCAATCCCCATACGTATAGTGGTAAGGGGTTTTTGATACGTGATCCAACTCTTGTGCCCATTAATTTAAAAATATTTATCTTCTCTCAGCTTTTATCTTCTTACCACTGGTTTGTGCAGCTGTATTTGATGCTTCTTTCACTGATATGGAAATTTGATTTCCCACCTTCCGTGGTCCTGATAGTCACAGTACTCAACGAACGATGGAAATGTATTTCAGCTTCAAGCTGTATCTAAATTGCATTTTTTACCCTTTCAAGTCTTCCCCTTCATCTCTGAAAGGCTTAAGGAGCAAGAATTTAATCATTCGTAAGAGACATCTCTTTTCTGTTCTTCTCTCACTTCAGGGACTATAATGACTATTTCTAAAGATCGAGTGAGGCCATCTCCTACACCAGACAGTTGGAATCTCAACCAGATATTCGCGACGGGTATTGTCATAGGAACATATCCAGTTTTGGTCACTGTTTTCTTCTACTGGGTAGTTGTCTTCACCACCTTCTTCGAGGTATATTCGTCATTGCTGAAATATATACATATATATATATATATATAAACAAATATGTATGTGTGTTATATCGATTTTGCTTCCAGAAAATCTGTATTCATGACCATCAAATGCATCTTATTCTCGCCCAGCTCGTGAGACTTCTGAATCCTTAACTCTATTTCCCGGTAACGTAAATAAACCTTATTTTTTCTGAGATCTTCATTGTTACATATATTGCAGATGGCTACTTTAATCCCTGTCTATGCAAACATAATCTTTGCTTGCATTAGTGGCACTGGATGGGGTTGGGCTGTCTGATATTCTGCATACCTATGGGTATCATTAAGTTTGTGGTCCATCGCCTTGAGGAGTGAGGCCTGGAACCTCGTATTTCGACCGAAAGTTTCAGTGCCCGTATCTTTATCTGTTGTTACCCGAGATACGGATAAATATCTTTACATTCTAAAACATGATGCCCGGCTTTTCTTTAAGCCAGCTCTCTCTTGCAAGAAAAATTATAAGAATAACAAAACTCAGATCCTCTCTCGGACATGTATGCATGATTTTAGTTGTGTTGAGGAGTTCGGTGGTAGGCATTGCTCCCGATCTTCTTGGATCGCTGAAAATGCTAAACGGCGTGCGGAAATCATCAGGTCCGTCCTTCCTTTCCTCAGATTCTTGATTCTATGCTTCTATTTTAGTTGCTTTTTAGGATGCATCTTCAGAATATAAGCTTTGTATTGATGTATGAGAGGGCTAGGGGAGCAGCACCCTGCGATTAGACTTCTAGGATCACTGATATGGCTAAAACAACCGACACGAAGACAATCCAATCCTCCCGCATTGACTAAACAATTCCGAAGCTGATCCTTCATACTTTGGAAATATGGAAATTTGGAACAATCTTGAGAAAGACAGGAACTTAAGGTTCTTATATCACAGCTTAGATGCACATTTATCTTTTCCAATGTATGCCTAGGCAATTACTTCTTGCAAGCTGATTTTCCTTCTCGTTTGGAATGGAACAACACATTGCTTATTCTGTAGCTAGCAAAACTAGCTAACTAAAACAGTCATATAAAGTGCCTACTTCTTGATACTGCAGATACAGCATGGGCTGACTCATTGTTTAAGAAATAATTACAAAGAATCCTTCGTGTCTGTTTTAGTTCATCTTCTTTATAGTTGATAGTGTTGTGTTCTTCCATGTCATGCAAGTTTTTGTCGATTTCATGGGCAAGGACACAATTTTGTTTCTTGCAAGCCGGGCTTCTTGGCTAGAAAATCAGGATGCTATTGATGCAGCAATTGTTAGCATGCTCGCTGATCCCAGGGAGGTAGAAGCCCATTTCCTGCCATTGATTCCTGTCAACACACGTACTGCAATAACATGACTGTGATGGTAAATGGTATCGTGCTAGCAAGGGAGCCGCTGAACAGGTTCCAAAGATTGCGAGACTTTAGGCTTAGATTATATAAAATACCTAATATTTCCCTTTCACCATGAATATTTTCATTATGGGTCACAGGATATTCGAAATATCATCGATGATGCTACTAAATAACTCTGTCTAATTGTGGAGTTTCTAGAGACATCAAGAACTTGAGTTCTCGTTTTTTTTTCTTTTTCCATAGTCTTACCCCTGCTTTTTTATGAAGAGAGGTTGATTCGAACCCACGATTTCAGACCCCACGACAAGTGAGCTTAATGTTGAGCTAAGTCGGTCCTTCCCTAGCATTCCCAACTCGAACTGGGTTGGTCCTTTATAACCCAAGTGAATGACATTGCTGATGCAGCTTGACCATGTTTCAGATCCTAAGCTTGTGCCAACCGAAACATGAGATTGCTCCAAAAGTATGCCATTGTTTATAAATTTGCAGTATGCATTGTAACAAGGGTCAAATTTTGTCTCCAGCGATGACGAGAAAGTGACTCGGTGGTTGTTGTAATAGCAAGTTTTCTTCTGTTGACAATCGCACCCATCACTGAGAGCTATGTCGCTTGCTTGATCCAACACACACACATGCGTATGCAGACCTTAATCCCTTGGAGGTATGGATGAGAAAGCTTAAGATCTGCTTGCACAAATATGTAGGTTGGCAATTGCAAGGCACATGGGCAGACGCCTTGGGATGGGAACG